ACCACAATGAGATATCAATGCACACCTAGCAGAAAGGCTAAAATAAAAACTAATGACACCAAATGCTGGTAAAGAGGCAGAGAAAGTCCATCACCCATTCATTGGTGCTGAGAATGTAAAATAGTACAGCCCTCTGCAAAAGTTTGGCAGTGTCTCAAAAAACTAAACATGCAACCACTATACAACCTAGCAATTGCTTTTTTGGGCATTTATCCCAGGAAAAAGAAAACATGTTTAAGTAAAAACCTACACATGGGAGATATGTATATATACAGCTAGCAGCTTCATATATAAGAGACAAAAACTAGAAAAAAAAACCATGTTCTTCATAAGGTTAAATAAACTGCAGTACATTCATACCATGGACTACTACTACTCAGCAATAAAATAAACTATTAATACGTACAACCACCTGAATGAAGCTCCAGAGAATTACACCAAGTGAAAAAATCTAATCCCAAAAGGCTACATATTATATGATTTCACTTATAAAATATTCTTGAAATGATAAAATTATTGGAGACCAGATCAAAGGTCAGCAGGGGTCATGAGTTGAGGGTGGGGGCTGGGCTGGTAGAAGTGTACAAAGGGAGAGGTTGAGGTGAATGTGGCTATGAAAGGGCAACATGAGGAATCCATATTGTGACAGGACTGTTTATGTCTTGATTGTATCAATGTCAAGATACTGGTTGTGATGCTGGAATACAGTTTTGCCAGATGTCACCATTGAGGGAAGCTGGGGGAGCAGTACATGGGATAACTGCATGTGAATCAACAGTGATTTCAAGATAAGAAGTTTAACTTAAAAATAATAAAAATATATTAAGCTAGGACTAAAATACCAGAGCTTAATCCATAAAGAAATTTTGTTGAGAAATTTCAAGAAATGTTGGCTTCATACATAAATTATACCTGACACACTATATTTATCTAAATATTCTTCCAGAGTATATTTCCTCCAGCACCTATTTTTCCACTGAGAACCACACCTTAATAAACTCTATGACGCTCTATGGCCAACGAGCAAAAGTATTTTGGACTACAAATTGACAAATGAAGATTTTTTTTCAGATGCATAGTGATTTTTTTTAACGAACTGTTTTTCCTAATGAACTATTTTGAGTCAAATATTAAGTGAATAGTCTCTCCAAAAATTACACAGCTCTTTATTTCTTTTGTTACTAGGTTTTAAAACTGCAACCGCTTAAAAACAAAACACACATACCCTGCCGCTCCCATCCCCACACACATACACACATATCACTACTTTTCCAGGATGTTATGATCTGGAATTTCTATGACCATTTCTCTTTCTTTTTCCTTTACTTTAACTCAACACAAAATCTGACCCTAGCCACAGTGGCCCAAAATGACCTGGAAAATTAAGTTTATTTTTTCTGGCAATGACAATCTGTGCTTGGAAATATAAAACTGTTATTCTGAATAAATTTCAAAGTTCCAAAGTACTAAAATTACTTTACTGAAACAGGACAAAATGAGCTGTTACTGCTAGGGAAAGGGATTGTTATCCTAGCAAGAACAGTGTGCTCTGCAGCCCCTGCACTGCCACTTCTGTTTTGTAAAATAAACAATTCGAGTCTCTTTATTTTACTTTGTGTCCTGTGGTAATAAAATCTTCTGAAGCTAAAATCCTATTATAAGTGTCCATTTTGTCACCATTAAAAAAAAACAAGGGATCAGTTTTACTTTTGCAAAATAACTGATTTTTTCTGCTGGTTTGTCACAGTTGTTTGCCTTCTGCACATGTTCCCAAGTAAAAGCAACAAAAGCAAAGTTGTTGGTTGCTTTCTTCCTTAAAAACAAAAAAACAAAAAAACAAGAGTTCATATGTCTCTAAAATGGGTTGCTATTCAGGAGAGGAAGAGATATAGAATTATTACTCTGTTGATTGATAACTGTTGTTTTCATTTTAAACTGTGGCAATAAAATCCTAAACCTAGAACTTTACTATCATTACAAGTGCATTTTGCTTTCAGAACACTGGATGAAAATTCGAGCAAAGCTGTTGGTTATCAGAGTCAGAGACACGTAGGAGTTAGCTCACTCTAGAGAGAGAGGTGAATTAGAGATATGGTCTAAGGACATACTGAAGTGAACTTGTCTAGCAGCAGACAGAGGGAATGAGTGTGGTCTTGCTGGCTAGCCCATGGGCCTGTTTCACATTTTCTGCCACTTGGGGAGATGGAAGTCTGAGATGTGTCTTATGCTCATTCAGAAATTGTGATAAAAAGCAAAATGATCTAGGACTAGGAGACAAAAGATTATCTTATTCTTTCTTCCCTAAGAATCTCTAAGATGAGACCATGGGCAGATGACTTAAAATCCTAGTCTCCTAGTCAGGTAATGGATTATCTTACTATAGCTTATTGTCATCACCATTGTTGTCCGCCCTTTCCCTTAAATGGCCATCTCTCCCACCACCTTTACTTTTTCTTGCCACTCTTTCTACTACTGCCTATTTTGCCATTAATAGTACTGTGTTGTGCAGACATTTTCCTGTTCTTTTTCCAATATCTCTCACATATTTATATCACATAGTAAAAATACAGAAAGAAATAAAGAGGGAACACTCCCTTCACCTTCTCTTCCATGATTTCTATACTAAACTTCCTTGGCACACATAGAAAAACAGAAGGGGCTTCTCTAGAAAGAAGAGCCAGCATGAAAACCAACACAAAATGTTATCAGAAGAACAAGAAGAAAAAAAAGCCTTTGAAAGACGTGTCTGTCACTAGCTGCTAATGCACCCCCCTCATGTTCTTTATCCAATAGAGAAATGGAGCACAATTTCCAAGAGATTATGAAAAAAATGATTTGTTTTTATCATTTTAATAGTCCATAGTACTAATATGAAGTATTCCTATTACCATTAAAAGCTTTATATATATCTAACATGAATCTGTATAGAATGATGTATGCAAGCTGACTAAACAGATACACTACCTGATCACAAGGCAATTTACCAACTGTGATTATGGACAATCTAGATGAATCAAACATAGGTAAGAAATTATGGAAAGAAAATAACTGACTTATTCCTAGACTGCTTTAATAGGCTGTGGGATGCATGTACACATTTTGGTTGATCTGTAATCAAGTTCTGGGTACTTGGCTGGTACATAATAGGCACTCAATAAATCTTTGTTGTATAAATGCATCTGATATAGGCATGAAAAAAATGCAAAGCTACACCTTACATCTGAAACATTCAACAGGACAAGGGCTACAAGCAGTATATTGTCCAGGGCCTGAGGCAGCTGAGCCTCTCCTGGCATCCCCACTTGTCTGTACTGTATGGATAGCTGCCTACCATTCCTGCTTTGAAAACATAATTGGAGATTTATGAAATGCTTGGTTTTAGCATTTTTAAACAACTTACTTGTAAAGTACCTTAAACATGAGAAAAAATTCACAGTTCTTATAAAAACCATGTAAAAAATAAATATATACTCTTTCATGTATTCAAAACATTTACAATGTTAACTATTCCTTAACTTGGCCAGCTTTTCTCACCAGTAAAAGCTTCTGTTCCCTTGGCCTAGGATACCCTATTCCCTATCTGTCTATAGGGATACTTGGCTTTCAAGAGTCAATTTCAGTTCTGTCTCCTGGTATAAAGACCCTCCTTTGACCCTCCTGGTACTCAGGGATTGCTCTCCCCATCTTCTCCACCCTCAGAGAAAGTACTATCTTATATGACATATAAATCATATACTGTCTTTTAGACATGTCATTATATATCTTTTTCCTGACACATGGCTGGGATCTGAAGTATGGGTATTGTTTTTTGGAGATTGTTTCATTTCTCTTAATCTCTGCCACACCAATAATGAAAGGAACTCAGCTGCGGGAGAGAGGAAGGACAGCCCATGACTTCAAATCCACATAAGCACCATTTCTCAGGTAAGTGGAGCATAGCTGAGCTCTTTACTAACTTGTATACCTAACTTAAAATGTGAAGCAAATTTAACACGATGGTTTAAAAGGTCTTCTCTAGTAACTGGACTTCCCTTCTAGTTCCTACTGCAGTTTATAGAAATCTGAAGGACATACAATAACAGCCCACATCAAGTTAAATCAGGGGTATGATTAATGCTAATAGGCAGCCCAAAGCAGCATGCACAAAGGATAAAAGCATATCTTAGAGCTGACTGCAATTTTTAATTAAAAATAACAGATTGGTCATTAATTGAGAGATGACTGCAGATTTACTGAAGAACCTGAATGATTAATGATAGCTAAGGTTTGAGGTTTCAATTCACAATTTGCCAGTCAGTTTCAAAGAGATATTTTTAAAATTATACTCTTAACACTGTATTCATTGCCAAACTAAATATGGAAGAAATATGGGAGGACAGATAAGAACAGGGAGGAGGTTACATAGGAACTGCAGAGAACTGATTGTTAACCAGATTAGATGAGCTGGTATATATGTAAGGGCTTAAAACAACGTCTGTTGCACAGTAAGTTACAAGAATTAAGGTAAAACTAAAATAGACCCTGAGAGAGAGTCTTAAAAGCTCAGCATCATAAAAAGTTACAAACCAGTTATAATTTCTGCAGTGGTTTAAAACTAATTTGTTTTGCAAATACAGAATAAGGATCAGTTAAAATTTTAAACAGATCCATTTGTTTCAGGTTTTTTTCCTGAGAAGTTGCTAGAAAAACATATATATATGTATATATATACTATTTGGACATTCCTGGGGCCCTCTTTTCACAAGGGCTCTGCAAACACCTGGTCAAATACTATGCTGGAATTATATATCTGTCTTCTTCCACAGGTCAAACATTCTTTGCACTGAATTGAATTCTACAATTCTGGCCACTGTGATTATTCCCTTCACTACCATACCAATTTCAACACAGATCCCCTGACCAAAACAAATATTAAAACTCTGAATTTACTCCCCTAGGTTTTGGAATTATGTAAACATACTCCTAATGTTACACTGTAATAACATATTATGATATCATACCTTTTGGATTTCCTCAGGTAGCTCATATATAGGAATGTGACGATCCATAATTTCTCAAAATATGCTGAGGGACCTCTGAAGTAAAATAAGCTAAAAACATTGATGGCAATAGTTAGAACTGAAATAGTATGAAGAAAATTCAAATTAAAAGATATAAATTACTGGGAGTATTTGGGGATGAATAATGATAACTGTTTCAATAGGTATTTGTTTCAACTCAGTGCTAAAAGGTAGAACTGTGGCTTTCAGTTATTAAGCCAATAGAATAGGAAGGACATAAGAGTCTTTTCAGTTAGAAATGGTATTTTCTTTCTTCAGAACTTTATAGTCTAATTCTAATTTCTGTGTTGGTTTACTATTATTTGCTTTGCAAATACTTGGTAAGGATCACTTATTTTAAACAGATCCACTCATTCAGTTTTTTTTCTGAAAAACTGATAAAAAAATATCTAAATATATTAATCCAGCAGATAAGAAAAGCAATTGTGACATGAATGCTGGTTTAAATGATGAAGTACAGGAAAAAAAAGTACCAGGCTAAGTATGGTATGCAGGCATTGAACAGAAGAGTTGTCAAAGCATGAGAAGCCAAGTGTCAATATTACCTAAGATAAGCATTTGCATATTTTTGTGCAGCTGATTTACTTTTAATAGATTTTCATTTTCTAATATAACATAATTCAATGTAAAACTCTATCACTACTTTCATAATAACACACAAGATAGAGGAACACTTTGGGAAAGAATAGACAGTCCAGTTGCATGAGTGAGAGATGTGTGTATATATATAGAGAGAGTGGGCAATAGAAGGGGCCAGCAGAGAAAGATGATACAGACATAATTCCATAGCTGGGAAGAAGTCCTGTGTGTCAGGAGTTGTAGAGAAGGAACAATATAGGAATTCAGGGAAGAAAAATGTCTCATTTTTCTGAAGGGAGTGGAGAATTAGTAAAGACTTCCTGAGGCTATTTGCTTTTGATCAGGGCAGGATCTTGGCAAAGAGACTGGAGAGGCACAGCACTCTGTCACAGACAGCAACCCCAGCAGGGGCAAGGTGGCAGGGACATTGTAGCTGACTAAAATTCCTGTAGTGGTAGCATTTCTTTAAATTATGCAACCATTAGTGGAAGAGAAGATTCCGCATCTTGTGTGTTAGTACAAAGCCCATGTTTTAATGAGCTGCTATTTAAAACAAGTAACTAATAAGCTGCCTTCCTATACAGACATATAAAATGTGTGTGTGGGAGGGGGGTGTAAAGTTAACTGGGGTGGGGGTAAAGTTAACTGACATGGTTAACATAGGCCCACATGGCCAAGTATATCATCTAAAGTTAGGCAAACTGTCTCTGTGATGTAGCAAGAGCTCATTATTCATAGAAGATTTATTATTCACAGAAGATTCATTATTCTCATTTCCACCATTTTACAGTGGCACTCACCATCAGTAAAATAAGATGGCATGGTCCTAACTAAATTGTATTGGGAGTAGAATTTTTCCTAAAATTATCAACTAAATGTCCTTTTAAAATTCCACCCATAAAATTATTTGAGAGCATAAACCTAATGATGGTATAAACAAGGCACCAGTGGAAGTTTTTTATTTCTGTAAATACCATCATTGTCTGTAAATTCGTTCCGACTCTGTGGCCTTACTATACTGAGGGGGAAAATTGGCAGTTTCTGATTATTAAGGAAAAATTTAAAACAAAATACACTGCCAACCCAGAAAATCCCTCCACAATGCAGAAAGAAAACAATTTTATTATTGAATTAGCAGTTAACCAGACTGACGCACAGCACAATCTGCTGAGATACAAAAACAAAGAAATCTCATTTTTTTATACAGCCAAGCAGATATAATCCATTACATACACATTCTCAAGGTAAATGGTAACTTTGTCTTCAACACAGCTTACTATGTATTCTTTCCTAATTCGTTTTAAATTCCCCTGGAAATTGAAGTAGCCATCTGTGCTATCTTATTGCGTTTGTTCGAAGGAATACATATCGCTAAGACAAAGCAGGCTGTTAATAAAAGTAAGGTGCCTATGCTAAACTCCCAAGGTGATACAGTGATAGGGGCGCTGTCTTCTTTAAGGTTTACATTTTAAAGAAATGGTTCCCAGTTCCTCAAACTTTGTCTTTAAAAAGACTTGCATATATATATTAAAGGAATAGAGGATGCATTCACAAATGTGAGGTTTCTCAAAAAAAGGGGGGGAGTCTCTTTTCCTCTTGGCAACAATAAAATGTTTAATTTATCCTTACATTATTTTGCCTGTTTTATTGAGCCCCTTTTATTATTTGACATTACACACTCGTAGACTGCCCTTCAGCAACAGGTGAGGTAATAACTGACAGCAGCTACGTAGGTATTTGTGAACCCGCAAACAGGGTAACGAGGAACATGTCAAAAATTCAGAAATGTCCATGATTATTCACTTTCGAATCCCTTCTTCACACCAGTGTCACGTTGGGCCATTAACTCACGTTCAGCTTTCAGGCCTTCTCATAAAGAACTTCCCCTGGAGTGAATCACCCACAAAAGAGCAGGTCAGAGTCAGGTGAAACGGAGTTCACGACCTAAAACCTTGCTGAAGAGGCAGGATTTTCCAAATAGAAACCACTGCAAGACCAGCCAAACTGCTGGAAGGGTTTTGAAATCTGTCCCTTTCTAACCCCGTTCCCTCGGGAACCGCGGTGGCAGAAAAAAGAGGAGGGCGCAGGGGTGAGGCCAAGCCGCGCATTCCGGGGGAGAAGAGGGCGCCGGAGCCGGCGGGCTCGCGGACACAAAGCTGGGGCCGCAGAGCGGAGCGGAGGCGAGGCTCGGAGTCCCATCCCCTCGCCGCAGCGCCGTGGCTCAGTTTCCGGCCCTCTCCCTGGATGCCAACACGCCTCCGCTCCGGAACTGCATCCCGGGGGACCAGGTCATCCCGGGGCTCAAGGAAGCCATTCATTATCTCTCACCTACACCTCGATGCTACCAGATGCGAAACGGCTTTCCCGGTCTCCCGGGAGACCGGGCCGCACGTCGGCCTGACGTCTGGGCGCAGTGACGTCAAGGCCTACGCCGCTCACCAACGCGGAAGCGGTGCTCTCCTACCCCGCCCGTTCACCTAGCGCCGGGCGGAAGAGGGATCGTTGGCGGTTCGGGGGTAGTGGCTGCACATACTCGGAAAGCTGGGAGAGGGAGGGAAAGGGCTTGGAGAGCGAAGCGGGGGAGGGCGGGCTGGAGTCGTGGTAGGACTGAGGGTATGGCGGAAGACGTCCCTAGCCCTTTCGTGCTTTGAAGAGAGCCACTCCCGGGGGTTCAGGCTCCAGTCCATCTTGCCTATCGTCCCTAGCTCTAGGGTCCCTGAGGCCGACAAAGCAGTGCGCAATTAATTGTTCTTGATCAGAAAGAGGAGAGTTGCCTATGGAGGACATGGGTGTAAAAGGAAGCTCTGGTCACAGTCACTGCCGCGAAGGGCAAATTAATTGGGAAAGCATTGGTAAAATTTTCATCCTAGTCCAAAAGTAGTTAAGATGAAGGGCTTAGTTCAAAAGGTATCTTGAGAACCCTAGTTCACAATTTGTTCCTTTATGGAAGGCTGCCCACCCTTACACGCGAATTGTTTTCCTTTCTTCATAAAGCTGGTATTTACTGATGACCTACTAGGCGACAAGTACTGCATACCAGGATGGGGTGATGCTGTGACTAACCCAGACAGGGGCTGTCATTGGAATGATTTGCAAGTGACTCATTTGTAGTCCATATTTCTCCTTTTTAGGGTTACCTGAGGTCTAGAATGCAGCTCTTCGAAGAAAGAAAACCTTTGCAGCTCGCTAGCAGGAAAAGAGACTTGTTACTACTGAATGAAGTTAAAGTTGAGTAAATACAAAGAAAATCAGGTAAAACCTATAGATTTAGAGGAGAGGTCAAATAATGCAGAGCAATACTAAAACAGTTGTCACACTGATGATTGATACCTTTTTATTAGTGAAAATGACATCGTGAAGTACTGACACTTCTAAAAGCCTTATTCCACAAATCACTAGATGTCTTCTTTAGATGTACCCTGTAGACTTTATCTGATGGATATTTTTGCCCCTACGCCTGCCAGTGACTTCCATTTAATTGGGAAAGATAGGCAATAATTAGGATTGAAGCGAGGATGTGGGGTGGGGCAGAGGACATCCAATGAAGTGTTCAAGGATGGTATGCTTTTGAGAAGCTCAAAGAACTTTCAGAGCTTTTCATTCTTAGCATGTTTTTTTTCTTTGGAGGACAATGAAGGTAGGACTGTTCTCATTTTGTAACAGTGCGGGTTTAGATATAGGGCACAAAAAACAACTCATCCCGTTTCCATTGAGTGCTTTATCTGGAACAGGAATTGCACACCTAAAGCAAGATCATTCTGTTCTGAGCCTAGTTAGGTAAGTAGTAGTATTCATAAAGTTTGGTAAGTAGTAGGCTCCCACCCTTCCTGGAAAGGATGTAGGAAAATACTACTTTGCAAGTCTGATAAAAATATCAGAAAGTCTATCCGAGATTGCTAATTTCAAAGTGAGCTCAGAACTGTACAAAGGCAGCATGGCAAAATTACAGTTAGCCCAACTTTATTTTTATTCTGTGAATCAGAACACAGTACAATTGCTATCACCTCAAAGTTTGAGTAAAATGGTTGCAGAGAGGCTTCTCAGGTTAGAAGCAACTACAGCCTTTACTGCTGTTTCTGGGTTCTATCCAATGCAAGTGCAGAAATTTTTTTTAAGTCAACATTTATTAGGTAGGCTCTATTTACCAGCACTTCACACACAATATCTCAATTATTTGGAATCCTTCCAAACATAACTCAGATCCTACTTATTGTTCACTTTCACCTAAATGGTGGAAGTGGCCAAGGGTATGGTCCAACATGATCACAGAAAAGTACTTAGGCTGAATATGAGTATAAGCAGAAGCACCTGGGCCGATGTACTGTTAGTTGACTCTGCCAGCCAGCCAGTACCCGTGGACCATCATCCTACTATGCATTAGTAACATATGTAGATATCCGAGAGGTATTTAATTCCTAGAACTTCACTTCGTCTGAGACTTAACTTTCTTCATAATTTTATGATACAACTTACAGTTTTTAAAAAGGAAGTCAGCTACAAGTGACCTTCTTTGTTGTACTTACCTCAACACATTTTATTCTAAGACTGGATTTTCTTTCCTCATACTATTTTTTTTTAAACTGCTAATCAACATTTAAACTTTTAGACTCCTTTGTAAAACCACTTTGTATAGTTTTGTACTGAACCCAGAATGACTCTATCCTGGAAATGGCTTTGACCACAAAATACTGTTTGTGAATTATGCTCTGTATGTTTCTGAATCCATCATTATGTGCAGTATAAACAAGTATCTAATAAAATGAAGATTCCAATGTTTTAGCATCTTTCTCTAGGATTTCAAATGTTTTGTCATCTGTGCAGGAATAAATTGTGTACTCAGTTCATTTTAGCCCTGAGAATATGATTATTGAATGGAATTTACAATGAGACAAGTCAGGCCTTTAAGTGATACTCTCAAATATTAAAAGTAAACCAAGCACTACAGTGAAACTTTGGTGGTTATAAATGTATCCTCTTGTGGCCTCTTCACTCCTGAGAAAAGCTTTACCCCAAAATGTAGTATGTACCAAATATAGCTTAATATCTGTTACATGTTTATTATTAAAATATAATAGACATTAGTTCCAGGTGTACATGATTCAATATTTGTATATATTGTGAAGTAATCACCACATCAAGTCTAGTTAACATCCATCACCACACATAATTACAATTTGTATGTGTGTGTGATGAGAACTTTTAAGAACTGCTTTCTTAGAAACTTTCAATTATATAATATGGTATTATTAACTATAATAACCATGCTATACTTACATCCTCACAACTTATTTTCAAGAATGTATTTAAAAACACACACAAAAGAATAAAGCTCTTATAGCACTGACTTAAAACTCTTGTAATGAGTTTGATGCTCAAAAATATGGCACTGATAGTTCTTTAAACTCTCAGCATCCAGTATCTAGTCTATGATAAATGTTAAGGAATTCAAAGACTGAAAAATGTTAACAGCCTTATGCATTTAAAAAACTTTTTGTAGAATTTGCTTATTTCTGAGATTTCTATAGGATTTTAATGAAGCATCTAAGAGTCTGTACTTATTTTGATAAGTGATTGGCAGAAGTGATTTCATTCTATCTTTATAGAGATGAAGTTCATTTTCTGTACCTGTAATTTTAGGTAGCTATGGAATTTATAGGAATCAAATTCTAGCAATTTTCCTGTCATTTTGTTGTATCTATATTAATAGAATATATTTTAATGCCATTAAATAAGGGTTATGAATCACCTTAAGATATTTTCTTATCTTGATTTTAAAATATCAAACATTATAACATCTATCACATACTTGAGAAGGATTCAAATAATTATACTAGACCTGGTTTTTCAAGTGTGTAGAGCAAACAACCCTCATAAGCATTAACTTTAGGGTCAAAAATTAATACATTTATTATGTTTTACACACCGTGAAATGTTCAAAGATATTGTAATGGACACAATGTAAAAGACATCAGATGTCTTTTTCCTTTTTCTTTCCTTTTGTTCAGTAATTCAGACGTCTTTGCCCTTCCTAATCCCTTACCACCAAGCACACGTGAATCAGCCCAACTCTGGGAGTGAACTCAGATTAAGAAATGATTATGTAGTTCTTTGGTGATCAATGTCTCACTGTATTATTCTGTGAAAAAGCAAGCTGAAGAGTATCATTAAATCCCCCCAAAAAAAGTATTTCATTTAGCATTCTAAATATACATTTTGTTAATTATTTCTATAGATGTTTATTTTATTAGGATATTTTATTAGAATCAACCCAAGAGCCGGATAACCAAGCGTCAAGAAAGTGGGAAATAGGGCTGCTTTGAGAACTGCAGATAGGGATTCTGAAACTCTTTTTGAAAGTCAGTGTCTCAGCCCTTTGAATCTATCACTTTATGTAAGTTGGTTCTGTCCTTTTACAGTCTCTGCACATGGCAAGACAGTGGTGACTGACAGTCCCGTTTTGCTACCAAGAGGAAGAGAGGAGGCTTCTCTGCCCAACCTCCAGTTAGAAAAATGTCTGGAAATGACTACTCGTCACACCTTGGGTTATACAGCAATTCTTTGACCAAATCACTGAGGCCAGGAGGAGTCAGTTACATACAACTTGACCAATTGTGGGGACCAGGTAGGCAAGGCCACACACATGGTGAGGTTCCTTTTCTAATTGCACTTCTAAAAGAGTAGAGGCAGAAGCAGAATCCCTGGAGGAAGCACAGAAGAGCAGTAGGCAGACAAAATAACCATTCCTACCTACAGGTAAGTGAAAATCAGAGTTAGCTGGAAAAACATTTTAAACTTAAACAGTGAATCTTGCTCTCTCTTTTCTCACGTGGTAAGTTGAGAGGTAAACATGTGCATTTACTAGAAAAAAGCTAGTAATTTATGGTAGTTACCCTAACCAGGAGAATCTCTCTCTTCAGCAATAGTATGTTACTTGTATAACAAAAACGAATGTGTAACTAGGCACCGTAGGCCTAAGAGTAATAATAAGAGAAATAAGAGCATAGATCCACCAAATCAAAGTGTAAATAAAAACAAGCTAATGTGGAATTTTGCAAATTTTCAGTAAATGGAACGGTTTTGTGAGTTACGTTTCAGTGTTATTTTTGTTTTGCCCTCCAAACTTATTTACAAATCTACAAACAGTTGGTAAGTAAATAGGCGAGAAACATTTCTGCTCATGTAATCTTGAGAAGAAACTTAGAATCCTAGCATCTTATGACTTGTGCAACTTTTTTTGTTGTTCTAATGCCCTTGAGACTTGAGCTCGTCATATAAAAGAGGTATCTCCAGTTATAATGCCAGGGAAATAGGCACATCTTGATTTTAAAATAAAACACGGGAACGAACGCTTCTGGGAGGAATGACAGCATGCAGAATCACGACTCTGATACTAAATCTTTTTGCAGAGTGGACGAAACTTGCGTTCCAAAGTCGCTGTCTTTGCCCTGATTCCTTTCTGCATAAGCATGTCAAATGAACTGCACGTGCGTGCCCTGCCTCTTAATTTAAAGCTTTCCT